AAAACTGATAGCAACAATCGAAAGACCTTCTTTCAAAATGTATAACTGCAACTAGAACTAAAAATCGTCAAAATGGCGCTTACGACAATATTTTACCTAGGCGACGGTGTGTTGAGAATCGGCCAGTTTAAAAAGTCCTTTTCTTGTAGGGTGGACTCATGATCCGACCACACAAGATCTGACAAGATGAAGCAAAAGAAAAAAGGAATTTTCTGGCTGACGTTTGTAATTTTGGCGCCATGTTAATTTCTTTGAAATGAATAGTAAACAAAGAATATGAAGACTAAGCACAAAAAAAATCCAAGCAAATTTTTAGCGCATGTTTGTACTAACCAATTTATTATTTTTGTACGTGTTTTTGAAACCATTTACCGCGCCCTTCATTTTAATTACATTTAAAAAAAAAAATTATTAAAAATCACTGAAATAAACCATCGACAAAATACACATAAAGAAAGAAATGTAAAAAAACAGGGTAATTATCTAGGTGGGCTTCCAACCTTTAAAATTGATCATAATTTAGGAGAGGGGGTACCATTAGACGCGTCTGGACTCCAGTAACAGGATTCCGAAAGCGGAAACTAACTTTTTTTACCCGATCAAACGTTATTGAGAAAAAGCTTTTTCACAATAGCACCTTTTTTATTCACTAAATACCACACACAAACGCACAAATCGCCCATATTTCACCACACATACAACAACCATACTTCATTTTAGCCACATATGTCAAAATATCGCTAAATACATCACCTATATATTTTGTTTATTATTATGTAAACAATTTTGGCGTGCTCAACGCAAAATTCACCTGCTGATGTGCGGTATTGCCACTCTCTAGCACTCCGAATTAATGCAATTACCCAACGTCTACACCTACCAACTATTTCCTTTAAGAATGCGGTCTGTAATGCAATGCAACCTTGTTTCAGAATTTGGAATTGGTATGGGGTGGCATTACGATTATCACAAATTACACTATTATTTTTTTTTCGATTTTATTAAAAATTTTCGCCTGCGGCGCTTTTTTTTAACTGTTTAGTTATTTCCACAATTAATTATCCCACATAACCGTCTGTACTCCATGTAAACATATTCAATATTTATTCCATTCAGATTGAGTGGCAACACCGCACATCAGGAGGTGAATTTTGCGTTGAGCATACCAAAATTGTTTACATTTTAATTAACAAAATATATAAGTTTTTAGTGGTATATTTAGCGATATTTTGACATAAAATGAAGTATTGTTGTTGTATGTATAGAGAAATATGGGCATTTTGTGCGTTTGTGTGAGTGTAGTAAGCGAATAAAAAGAGTGCTATTGTGGAAAAGTTTTTTGTTAATAACTTTTTATCAAATGCTATTACAAATTTCTGCTTCTCAAACGGTCAGTTCTGCTCTAATTGGTTCATGGGGTGGACTTCGAAATAGTCTGATTTGACGGCAACAGAGCGTCGCCTGGGTAAAAGATTGTCGTAAGCGCCATTTTGACGATTTTAAGTTCTAGATGCAGTTATATATTTTGAAATAAGGTCTTTCGATCGGTGTTATTTATTTTTTATTTTCAGATATCTCCTTTAGTTTCCGAGATATTGACTACAATTTTTTCGATAATTTAGTAAAAATTTAATTAGTGATGCAGCCATATTAAACTAACCAATATCTTAAAAATGGCCTTCTCCATTTTCGGATATCTCCTTTAATTTCCGAGATATTGAGTAAAAAGTGTTGCTAATTTGGTAGAAATTTTGATCACATTTTAGTTGCGTTCGCGTAGCTGTTAATTGTTCATGTTTAACCAAAACTTTCAGGTTTTTGCGTTCGCGTACGCAAAAAACTTGCAAAGGAGGGGAAATTGAGAGAGCAAAGTAACATTTCATTTTGAGGGGAAGCTGCTGGTTTCTGCTGGAAAAATTTTTGCCAACAGCAATTTGCCAACAGGAAAACAGCTGATCAAAAACAGCTGGTTTGAATTTACGCAAATCACAAAATTGAATTTGATGGTTTGGAAGATAAAAAATACAAAATGCGACTAATTAAACTTTTAAGAAGAAAGTAGTTATTTGTTTAATCAATAAACTGTGTCAGGATACCGCTTTGTGATGAGTTTTCGTACGTTTTAAATTTTACACTTTTGAATTTAAACAAAAATTATATCAGCTGTTCGTCTAACTTGCAAGTTTCTGCAAATTTTCTGTTCGCGTACTGTTTTGGATATTTTTCTCTTGTGAGAGGACTGGTGACATTTCGCCGGAATTTTGCTGTTGTTTGGTTTTTACTGGAGATTTTAAAGCTGTGACAGACAGCAAAGCTTATGCATATAATCTGGCACACATATGCACATAATAATTTTGACCTAACAGACGGCAGTTATGTGGATAAACGAGCTGCAAGGTCGTGGGTTCGAGTCCCACGGCCAATTGAATTTTCATTTATTTCGTTTTCATTCTTTTTTTTAGAAGTTCTATATTTTTTTTACGTTGCTTTCAGTTAGTTGTTGTCGACTTTTTATTAAAATTCAACTCTAAAAATTTTAAATAACTAATAGTAAAATAAAACATGTGATATAAAATAAAGTAAATAAAAACAAAATAAAGTAAAACTAAATATATAGATCAAATAAAATAAAAAATATATAAAATAAATAATAAAAACAAAAAAAAATTTCGCAATCGCTCCAACCGAGGAACGAACCTGGCAGCTATAGGCTTGTAGCCCGTAACTCGCGCGCTTTGTTTGCTTACTTGTGCAAAAGAAAAACAGCTGGCCGTTTTTACCATTGTTGTCAACGAAAACTACCCGGATCCGAGTTCGGTGAGCTGAGTATAACGGTATACTTCTTTTTTTGGGCAAACAACAACAACAAAAATTATCAAAGGTTAAATTTCAAAATAAGCAAGGGTGGGCTTTAGATTGGTAACCCCGGAGTATAGCATTAAGGAAAATGTGGGAGGTAGAGGGGGGCCTAATAGTTCCCTGTATGAAGTTTCAAAGCGCGCAACCTTATACTTTTTAAGGAATTTGTTATTAAAGTTTGTAATTTTAACTAACTTGTATGGCACTCTTTTGCAATATATAATGCACTTTCCACTATGGTACATGCAGAGTATGTGCAAATGGCAGCAGGACTGTGTTGCCATATCTAAAAAAACCAAGAGTGGAAAGCAAGACCAAAATAAAATACAATTAAAAGGCAAATACGACAAGGTTCTTTTGTTCAGATAAAAATAAATAGTAGGGGATTGGGGGTCATATTCCCCTCTTCCGGCAACACAGAAAGGAGAATTCTACGTAGTGAAGATTATAATCCCTAAGTGCGGCCGAAGGCCGCCTACGCTGAAAGGTGCAGTTGGCTTTCCTTTATGGCCAACCAAAATAGACATCACTGGGGCGCCAGCCCCAGGTTTACCACACAGAAAGGGAATTCTAGTTACCTCATCCTTTCCCAAGGTTACATCACTGGGGCGGTAGCCCCAGTTAGGTCACACAGAAAGGAGAATTCTACGTAGTAAGGGTTATAATCCCTAGGCGCGGCCGAAGGCCGCCTACGCAGAAAGGTGTTCTATGCAAAAGATGTTCGGCCCATTTTCTTTCGCAACACAGAAAGGAGAATTCTACGTTGTGAGGTTATAATGCGCGGCCGAAGGCCGCCTACGAAGAAAGGTGTTCAGCCCCTGATTCCCCTACTATTTATTTTAATCTGAACAAAATAACCTTATCGTATTTTCCTTTTAATCGTATTTTCTTTTGCTCTTGCTTTCCACTCTTGGTTTTTGACATATGGCAACACAGTCCTGCTACCATTTGCACATATTCTGCATGTACTCTCATAAAATTAAACAACAATCAATTTTTGATAAAAAAAGCTGTAATATAACTACTTAAATTATTTATTTGTTTGAACGTGCACACTCTTACTGCGCATATATTGAGTGTAAATAGCGTGTAAATTTAGTGGAAAGTGCATTATATATTGTGAAATAGTCCCATACAAGTTGGTGAAAATCACAAACTTTAATAACAAATTACTTAAAAACTATAAGGTTCCGCGCAATGAATCAAAAAGACAAGATCGCGCGGGCAGGAGACTAGCCCGTTAGAGTCGCATTAAGGAAAAAAGTTGAACGATTTTGACATTAGCCGTTTATTTACATTTCTTCGTTGTTTACAATTTGGTGGTGGCTTTTTACTGCAATTTTCTTCATTTTCGCTTGTGACAACGTGTGTACACATAAGATAAAGACTAATTTAACACAACGGCATGATTTTTAGAAGAATTTGCATAATAAAAATGATTTTTCATGCGTTCAACAATTTCGCGGTTTTCTCCATTCTCTTCGTTGTTTACTTCTTACAGCAAAGATGGCGTCGAGATTTCGGCAGCTAGAAAATAACTTTTTTCGTTCTTTCCGTCCCGCGTGATCTTGTGTCTTTCGTTCATGGGTTCCGCGCTATAAAACTTTACATATACCCCCTTTAGAACCCCCCCTACCCCCCTACCCCCCCTATTTTCGTTAATTCCGCACTCAGGGGTTACCATTCTAAAATCTTCCCATAAGCAATTTTTGAAATCAAGATTTCTTAAAAACGGATGGATGGATCTTTATTATTTTACATTAATTAAATTTTTGTAAGAACTATACAACATATATATAAAGTACGTATAGCAAATTAAAGGGAATCGAATTTGCTATTAAATGAGATCACATTCACATGTTTTTGAGAAATTTTGATTTCACAAATTGCTTATTTTGAATTTTAACCTTTGATAATTCTTGTTGTTGTTGTTTGCCCAAAAAAAGAAGTATACCGTTATACTCAGCTCAATCATCTCTATCGATTCCAATATTTTTTTTTTTAATTTGAGATTTGGAGCCCAACTGCATTTATGCCAAACTAATAAACAATAAACATTAAAAATTAAATAATTTTAGGATTTTGTGAACTAGTAACATTTTCAGAAACTTTGGAGAAAATCTATCTTCGCGTTTTTGAGAAATTACATTCCAAACTTCAATCGCGATTTCCCACAACCTGCCGAAATTAATATACGACAATCTTTTAACCAGGCGGACGAGAGGTAAATTGGCGGCCCTGTTGCCAAGTGACAGTGGAAAGTTCGAAAAATACGAAAAGGAAACAAAACAAAACGAAACTCGAAAAGGAAAGCCTGCAATAAAACCTGAAACGCGCTAAATGGTACACAGGGAAAATTGTAAAAATCATTGGTGTTGTGTACGTGCACGTGGGGGGCGTGAAGTTGTTCCAGTACTTTGCTAACTGCCAAATAGTAGTGGAAGAATAGTAGCATATCTGGTGGATTTTTATTCAAAATGGGAAAAACTAGAAGAAACCGTGTGCGGCATATAGCCAATTCCAATCCATTGGGGATAGCTAGCATTAATGATTTGTTGAATGGTGATGAAGATTCAATGGATAATGGATTAGGCCCAGTGGATTCAATGCGCGAGCAACTACTGACTGCCAATGTTGAGGAAAAACTAAATGCTTTACAATCACTGGCGGTGTTGGTGCAGTCTGGCAAAAAGGACAAACTGGCGGCAATTTGCGAAAGCGACATTATACGCATAACAGCACCTTACCTGTACGATCGTGATCAACCTTTGCGGAATGCAGCTGCAGGAGCTCTTCGTAACTTCACTGTCTGTGTGCCAGTAAGTAATGGTTTCTTGTATGTCTACAGATAATTTTGTAATGGTTATACCCTTTATAGGAAGTATGCGACATCTTTGTTGAACAGGACGTGCTTACACCACTTTTAGCGCTACTCGGCGAATACGCACAAGATGACGATTGGGTACCTAGTTTTGACAATGCAATGGGCGGTCAATTAGATATACGTTCTGATACATTTCTGCAAGCCATAAATCTCTTATGGAACTTGTGTGAGAGTTCGATGGCGGCGCTGGAATCCTTTAATCAAACACAATTAATTGGAGGTCTCATTCGCTGTCTAGATCATACTGTTTTTGGTTTAGACATAGCAATATCAGTAGCACAGTGCATGTTGGTTGTCTCAGAAAGCAACGCAAGAGTTTGGAATGCACTGACACAGCATATAAAAGCATTGCTAAGTTTGCTGGAAATAACTGGCGGGTTTGGACACCATTATCTGCGCAGCTTGGGAGCAGGTTTTCGACAATTTTTAAGTATGTTCATGTAAACTAAGTTATAATCGGGCGCTCTTTTTAGGTATTCTATCAAATGTACCAGCCTTAGCAGCGGCATACCCCAGCAACATTCTGAATTGCTTAGCACAAACTTTGGCTGTGGATCAACAAGAGGCTTTGTCAAATGTGCTGAATGCACGCGTTAATAACGAACGCAATGAATGCATACCAGTGCTGGATATTAATATGGAAACCGAAGAGGGTAGGGGAAAAACCCTAAAATGAAAATTAATAAAAGTAATCAAATAATCGCATTTATTGTAGAAGAGACAGAAGAGGCGGCAGCTTTGCGTAGGCGGCGACAGGAACTGCCAACACCAGCAGAAATTGCGATCAAAGAGGTTGGAAATCTGTTGGATGCTCATCGTGTCGCCGCGGAAATTATCACAAATTTAGTGTCAAGTGATGACGAAGGTAAAAAAGAGAAGAATTTGATTTGAGAATACAGTTATAATAGTTAGATTGCCTGCAGACATGAGTTTAGTTGCTTCAGTGGGCGGTTGGTTGTATTATGGTTCTATGCGGCCAGGCCATTACAAGAAAAACAATTGCCATCTATGTAAAACATGTTTAGTGAATTTGATAATCCTTCAGGTAGGCTCTAGACTACTAAACATACTGGCCGGAATTAATAAAGCTTTAACATTCAAACAGCACTTTATTCTTGCACATATGTGTATATGTTCTTAATTGAATTTTATTCCAACAGAGTGGGTTGATTCCGATGGCGAAGATGCATCAGAAGGTGAAGGTGTTGTAGATTGTGAAATAGAGAATGCAAATAGCAATGGTGACATACAAGATGGCGATAAGCTTCCCGGAGAATTAGTGGAAATGATAAAATCATTAGGAATTGTGCAAAAGGTAAACAAAGCAAAACAAAAAACGCAACATTTAATTAAAAACACTATAAATATTAATTGTCTATTAATTTTTAAACCAAAGCTTTGGCAAAAAGCGCAAGTTTTACCAGATAATGTTGCGCAATCCTTGCGGGAAGTAAACTTAGGTTTAGTAATGAAGTAAGTATACAAGTGGCAATACATTGATATGTTTTATCATTGACATACCCTTCCTAAACTGCTCATTTGCAGGGCGAAAAATTTGCGTATTTCATCATTACTTTGCCTGCAAAACTTGTGCAATGCATTGAGTCCTAACGATATGGGCGGTGCCAAGGCTATTTACGATGTCTGGGTAGAACTTGGTCAGCAAGTATTCAAGGGAGCGCAAGATGTTGCTGTTATGGAGCCCGCGACTTCGCTAATGCGAGCGGCTTTAGAACGTTTAAAAACAAATAAAGAACTTTTCAATCAAATGGCAGAAAATGACTTGGAGGTATACGAGTTTGAAAACATAAATTTTATAATTTTTGTAAATTTTGTTACCTTGCAGTTGATCTTCAATGGCGTAAAAAATTGCAGTGTAGCTGAAATACGTGCGAATTGGTTACGCATGTTGGGCACATTGGGTTGTCTGCTGCCTGAAACATTAGTGCGCATCATAATCACCTTTATTATAGACGCATGCGCTGAGGTTGAATTATTATTTAATTTTTTTTTTCGGGTCGGTGTAATTGTTTTTTGCTTGCTTTTAGGAAGAAGATGTTTGGACAATTTCCGAGGCGCTTGACGCTTTAATGGATATGTTTGCCGATAACGATTGGCCAAAAATGATTGTTGAGTTGAATTTACCGGAAGTGTTGAAAAAGTTAGAGAAAATGTTTAAAAATAAGGTACATATTTCAAAATGACACAGTTTCTTTAGGCCTTATGTATGAAATAAATCGCTATATAATTCTAGATACGTCAGCAGCGTCGTGAACTGAAAGATCGTTATCCAGCTGTGCAGACGGTGCGCATAAATTTGACGCGTTTCATTCGATATATGGAGACAGAGGCGGATAAGTACGTGATCAATTCATAAGATTTGAGAAATAAATTACTTTTAAAACTGCATTTAAAGTAATGCAAATTTCGGCCCCATACTATGTAAATAGATATCTACATTTTTTATTTGACAAAAAGAAAATTCTATAACTAGAATTTGAAACCAATGTTAGTACCTTTATTATTCGAATAGGGTGTTATGTGATTCAATGAATACCATTTGAGAACTGTAATATAGCCTGTCGGATTCAGTGTATGGCGTACGAATGGCTAAACTTGATCATTGAAATTGCCCCGCTAGCATCCCAATAGAAATTTCTTGCTCGGCACGATGTTTTACTCCTTAACTGTGAGCATTTGTGAATGATGTTTGGGAAACATCAAAGGCATTCCATTGTTGTTTGTGTAACAGCATACCAATTCCACAGAGGGTTTTTGAGGAATCAGCTGGAGTCCTTGGCTAAATATACTAGCGTAGAGCGGCATTCAAGAAAGGAATTAGATCTGAGTCTTCCTCGACTGTGTCCTACTAGTCCCCGGCCATCACTCAGGTGGAACACACTTTAGAAACCACTCGACTAATCGCCTTTAATGTGGCTAACAACGTGTTTTTCTCTCCTGCGAAGGGCGACGATTGCGGTTTTGGTGGCAGAGGAATAAGCTGCCGGTCTGCTAAGGTTGGATTTATAATGACATCGACCCGTATGCCTAAGTTGACCTTGACCTCCTTCAACCAGGTGGTAAAAGGTATTACTATTGATTTCATAGTTGAAAGGGTTAGGTTATTAAGGGATAACCTTAACCTTTCTTCGAAAGATAAGTCATGTAGGTCAGTGTCCGATGCCAAAATCGAACATTTATCGTCGTATAAGACTAAGGAAATGCCCTTCATGGTTTTTGCTACTGGTTGTAGGTGAAGTACCAGGAAATATTGCATTACTGCTCCTACCCAGCCTGACGAAACATCTCTAACTGTCGGAAGACCAGTATGGATACCGAAAAATGCACAGCACCACTACTGCATTAAACGCCATTACCACACAGATAAGCGGGGGTCTGAACCAAGGCCGACCATGTTAGAGGACAATTATAGTCGCAGTTGACCTTTCGAAGGCATTCGACATGCAATCCTTTGCCAAGAGGTCCAGGACTCGGCGCTTTAAGTTACGACGAAACGGTGGATAACCGGTTATTTGTATGCACGTCAACTATCAGTTGGAATTCAGTAACGCCAATTCTTAACAAGCACATGGAAAAACCCCGTCTTCCTATAGTTGGAGTTAACTTGGTGAGCTAGCTGATGGTTGAGCTAGTAGTCGATGACGCCAGCCATTGTTAGTCACCCTAAGAACCTGGGGCTCACGTTTGACAGCCTTTTCAACGGTCGGTGGAGTATCACGCAATGTAGAAATCTACAAGATACAGGCGGTGCACAACACGATCTCGAAGAAATTCTTAGTATAATGCTACCACTGGGACCACCCCAACAACGATCTGGTTTGAAACGATCCACTGCACGCGTGAGTTGGTACCTGCACGTCTGGAGGACATACATCGAGCCGCATGTAGACCATACGTTCGACGCAGCGCGACACAGACGGGCACTCAACAATCTGCACAGCGATGCAGTCAGGACGAGCCTCACCCGTAAGGACAATATCGTCTTAGAAAGCCCCTACCCGTCAATATTGAAGAAATAAAACTGCCGAGAGAGACCAAATGCACCTTAGCACAACTCCGTTCTGGGTGGTACCATAGTCACTGCTACTGTGACAACAACCACACGAAAATACCCTATAGGTGGATGATAACTTATGGGGACACTGAATTAAGACATCGTGGCATAGAGACAACTTCTAGTGGCGAAAGAGGCTTAGAAATCGACAAATAGATGGTGTGCGTGGATCTTTTTCTCACAAGTCTTTTCCAGGTCTAAAGCCACACTGATAAGGCCCAATCAGTTGGTTAACGGTGGGCTTGTGCCCTTCACACAATACGCTTATTAAGGTCTTGTAACCTATGCTTAGAAGGCTGCTCACGTATAATTAGGCGCATATGGTGGGGTCGTATTTCTTGTGTAGTAGTGGAAAAGTGTTCACTTCATAATTCAAGTACGTGCTGGACATCAGTCACCAGGTCACCATGGTTCTTACAGGAGAAGCGTTATCGGACGTTTTTCCAGTGGGCAGTATTTCAAGCCGCTTTCCTCTTAAACGTCGCCCTTCCCTCTTCAGCTCCCTATATCGGCCCACACATAGCTCACGTTGGGTCCGATCGTAGGGTGACCCTGTTGGAGGCATCTTTTATTCTCTGCAGCTTCCCAGTAGATAATTTTAGGAGTTAAAAGCCCTTAAGTCAAGAGACCTTCCACTATACATTCCTTTCTCCTTTCTTTTTTTTATGGAGTGGCACAAATTAAAGGGCTTCTTCTTTCGCTACCCATAGAAGGCCTTCCAGAAGGGCTTTTATAGGACGTAGGAGTTCTTCTAAAGTTGCTTCTTTAATTTATAAAAATCCTTCGTTCCCATATTTAAATTCTTTTTTTGTAGATAGGCTCCTCATATGTTTCCTGCAGAAAAAAAATATAAATTGATAAAAAATAATACACTTGTAGTTAGCTTTTTTGTGGGATTTCTATAAAGTATATAACTTGCACTACAGAAACCTAACTTGAAACTAGTTGTCAAGTAATGCAGGACTCACGCAGACGTGACAACTTTACTTTGAATACACTTTTTTCTGCACTTCACAAATACTTTTTCGAACTTAGGACAAATAACATGAAGATCAAAATTTTATATAATCATTTTGAAGAAATTCATATGTAGAACCACCTACAGCGGAATATGTAAACAATATGTAATGTTAAATAAATAAACAAGTTAAAAAACAATAGTGTTTCTTATTGACAGTTTATGTCCACAAGTAGTTAGTTACAAGTTAGTATGACTATTTCGCGGCCAATGCCATAGAAGTATACAGAAAATATACAGATATTAGTGACCCTTAGTTCCATCTTAATCAACTTCAAGTTAACTTATAGTTAAATACATTTTCAGGTCTGTCTGTATCTGTCTGTGTGCGTAATTTCATTGAAATGCATTAAGCCGGTTTAGCGTGCAAGAGCAATAAACATACTCACAAACTAAGTCACAAACTTGCAAATTTATGTATTAGTTAGTAGGATGTACTAAAAAAACAAATAATTGTAATATAATGCATATTTTTGTATTTCTTCTTATAAGAATTTATTAGCACAACTTTTAATTATACCATACAACTCGTCGTTTAAAGTACAAAACCGCGTATCGTCATTCTGCAAAACCGCGTAACTGACATTGGCTGCCAAAAATTGGGTTTGCTCACACAAGCTCTTGGCTCAATCCTTATTCATTCGTCCTGAAATATACTAGCCAGAAATGCGATTGCTTTATAAAACAGAGAACCATTTTGAAAAATGGTAGAAAATGTAGAAAATAATTTCTACAACTTCACATACGCGGTTTTGCATTTTGCTGATACGCGGTTTTGCATTTTGTTGATACGCGGTTTTGCACTTTAAACGACGAACTGATTTGATTATAAAACATTGGTATTTAGTCTAATATCTAAAAAACTGCAAACTTTTACAATTTGATTACGTTCGAAGCACGATATACATATTTCTTATGTTTAAGGTAAATTTTATTTAATTAATTTAATTTTATTGCCAGCTTGGCAGCTGCACCATTTCGTAGGTGATTTGAGCGGGACCACGCTGAAGTATATTTTGGTATGTATTTTAGATCCAGCTCACAAATAATCGAGTATGCGGGTGTACTTTATTTACTACATACAGGCATTGGTAAGATCTCTTTGGTGTAGGAATTAATTAAATTTATTAAAACAATGCGAAATATAATTTAAATTTAAATGTATGCACATAATAGTTACCAAAAAAAAAAAATAAACGTATGTACATTAGAGTGGTGCAAAAAAATAAAGTCGGAGTTTTAATGCCGGCACACCCTAGGATTGATCTACATATATCGAAAAAAATATACCCCAATTTTTTTTTATTATTGAAATCAAAAAATATTTAGAGAGTGCTCAAAGCGCTCAAAGTTTTCCATGTATTTTATATAGAGAAAAAACATCTTTTCGTAGAAATAGTGTAGAATTCTTGAAAATCAATATTTTTCGATCGGAAAACTTTACTTATCTTCAGGAGACTCCCAGTAATAATACCCAATTGCTCTTTTAACAATTTTTTCATGGTAACTATATTTTATAGGTCCTCCAAAGCCCTTAGAAAATGCAATGGGGGGACCAATAAAAAATCTTTTATCATAAAAAAATGGTTAAATAAACAATTGGCTATTAATACTGGAAGTCTCCTGAAGAGAACCACAGTTTTCCGGTCGAAAAATATTGATTTTCAAGAGTTTTATACCATTTCTACGGAAAATTGTGTTTTCTCCATATAAAATACATGGAAAACTTTGTGCGCATTGAGCACTCCCTAAATATTTTTTGATTTCAAAATAAAAAAATATGGGTATATTTTTTTTCGGTATATAACAATCGTAGGGGGTGGCGGCATTAAAAACCCGAAATTATTTTTTTTTACATACATTTTTGGACTACTTTAATGTACATACATACATACCTACGAGTAAAGTAGAGTGAAACAACAAGTACAAAAATAAAATGAATAGAAATTTGGAGCACTCTTATGTAATATTGCAATAAGTTGGAGTATGCACTCACTTAGCGAGGTACACTTGTTCGATATCGTATAAATGTTTGAAGATATATTTATTTATTTGCGTAGATGTGTACCACATAAACAAAATTATAAAACGAATATGCACTTTCCAGCACCTGCAGGTAATTTTGCCTGCCACTTTCCAAAACTGCAGAAGTTAGTTTAGTAAATAAGCAAAGTTAAAGTTGCGGGTAAAAAATATAAATGTACCTAAAAATACGCAATACTGAAAATATAAACATTTTAAACATACATACATTTGCTAATACTCTTGCGATCATCAACGAAATAGCAGTGGTAGCGATAAATTATTATTTTTATATCTTTCACGAACATAATGGTGTTATAATTTTGGAGAGAGATAGACCCATAAAAAAGTTGAACAAAATGATCAGAACGTCGAGCTGAGTCGATTTAGCCATGTGCATGACAGCTCTTTGTCTGTCTGTTTGAAAACACATAACAGTTTTCGGGATATCCGACTGAAATTTCGGAAGCGGGTGTTTTTTTGTAATGTATTATTCATTTGCAGCACCGGAAAATCGGATCAAAACAACAACATATAGCTCACATGCAACTGATTGTTCCGATATTAGATTTTGCGTTAGGCAGCTAAGAACGTGAAATTTTGCACTGTTTTCACTTATCACCAACATAGAGTTTAAGCGAAAATTCATCAAGATCGGACTACTATAAATCATAGCTCCCATATAATTGATTGTTCAGATCAGTTCAGATATGTGGTTTTGCTTTATAACTCATTCATTTTGAATGATAAATCAAACAAAGTACACTGAGAAAACCTTTAAGATTGGTGTTCTATAAAGTATATTTCCTAAAAAAAACTGATTGTTCAGATATGAGTTTTAAAGATAAAGCTCCTCATTTAAATGGTTAAGGATCTGGCTTAACTCTCAAGCCTGCTCAAATACGTTTTTTTTTTGGAATCTTTTTCTCAATTTCATCAAACCACTTCAGAAAAACGAAGGTAGCTGGTACCATCCGCGGACCGCTAACCCGGGATTTGACGCCACAAAATACTGTTTTGCACTAGGGATAAAAATTAAATGTTTAAATTTTAAAGTAAATATGTGTTTTCATGTGTATACATTTCTGATAGTGGGTGGAGAACCTTTTGATACCATATCTACTTTTAGATTCACTTTAAACAATCTTCGCTCTTAGAAATGACCTTGGAAGGATTCTCTCCGAACCGTTCAAGACAAAACCGTGTTTCAGCCTATTTTTAAGCTTTTTCACAAAGAAGGGAGGCTTTTAGACAAGTTGCCCACGCTAGAAAATGCAATAAAATGCCTATGAAAATAGGAAAGAATTTCCCGACAAGTTCTTTGGCTAGGTTCCAAATGTGTTTGCTTTTACCGAATATAAATCGCTCTTCAGCGTACAACATAACTCAGTACAATTGTATTCACATTTGGATCACAATTTCGCAAGTTTCTTCCACCTTCCTCTTCTTCCTTCGAAATTCTTTTTACTCTCTCATCCTCAGTATTTGATGACGTCTAGCGCAATTGCTTTCAGCTGGATTGGCACTATCTTGTATTCTACAATTTTTGCTCCTGAATTTACGATAAAGGAAAATCCACCATTTACACCTACGAACGCGGAATCAACCTTCTCCTGGCAATGGGTTCTGAAAAAGATGGTATTTTCAAATCCATAATAGATTTTATAATTTCGACGGAAAAATATAACCGACTTTTTTTGTATGGCGAGTGATGCACCCTAATGTACATACATATGCATTTGCGTATTTTTAGGCACATGCGTTTACTTAAATTTTCTTTACTCCTCTTCTTATCTAACCTTAATACATATTTAATATTTTTCTTAACTGTGAGAACATCTCACTTTGAAAGCCTACAGCCAACAACGAAGAGGTTATCATAAAAAGTGTACTCCATGAAATCCTTACATAAATTGCACATTGTAAAATGACTATTAAAAAATTACAGTAAGTTACTTTCAAACTTAATTTCATTGTTCCGATAAATTCTTATTTCTCTTAGGTTTGGGCACTGGATTCCAATCGAGATTAGAAGTTGTTGGCGATTGCTCTCTGTAGTCGTATTGCACCTCCTTCTTTACGGTACATTTCTTAAATATTTCATTATTGTTGAGTTTTTGTGGATCTTGTTCACTATCTTGACCACCATTCACATTTTCACTACCATCTTCAGCTGCGCCTGATGCCGACGCCGCCGCCGAAGTTGTGGGTGTATCCTCTTCTTGTCTACTCTCAGTCGTGGTAGCATTGCCGTTGAGTTTCGTCCTGCTTTGGACAATCGTTGCCTGCTTTTCAATTGTTGACTGACCACTAAATTTCCGTTTCGGCAAGGGCGTTCCGTTAGCGCTATTTGCATCAGTGGAGTGCATTTCGTTCGTTGACTGTCCACTAAGTCTTCGTTGTGGCAAGGGTGTTCCGTTAGCGCTACCCGCGCCAGTGTTCGGACTAGTACCATCGTTTGGTATATCTTTGTGCGCAGAGGCATGCAATAAGCGTTGACTTCTATTGATGGACTCGATGATGTCCTTGACGGACTTGCGCTTTTCGGGCGGCACATTCTTTTCGAGAGGTGCCAGCGATGATTGCTTCCATTCCAGGTATGAAGAGGATGGTTTCGGCCGATACAATGACTCTAAGGCTTCCTCTCGCAGCTCTGTGGGTGATTGAGTACGATGCGCTGGTGTTGTGGTAGCGCTGGCAACTTTGTTGTCACTTGAAATGTGACTCGTCGCCTCATCTTTCTCAAGCAGATCTTCATGTGACTCTGTGATGGTCAACGAGAGTGAGGAAGTGGTAGGTACTGCTACGTTTGATAATACCTGGCTATTATTTATTTGTTGTACTCTCGTCGACTCACTCTCTGTTTCCGTTGTTTTCACCACAGCTCCTTCTCTCTGTTTTACAATTGTGCTGTGACGCACGGGCGGTACCGGGCTCGTTGGCGGTTGTCTAATTTCTTTAACCACTATTTCTTTATGTTCGTCTGTTCTTGCGGATGCGATTCCCCTGGATGGTTTGTGAATCTCAGCCACATGTGGTTTGGCAGACACTGCGGGTTTCGTTGTAGTCGTTGGCGATTTTATAGCCTTTGGCGTTGTGACATCTTCTGTGATCCTTAAATCCTCTGTTTCGGGGAATTTCAAGGTTTCGGTATTTTGTAATGTTATCTTCGTCTTTTTTGTGGAGTCTCGGCGTTCTGCGGGTGGTGTGGTGAGTGTGAATGAAGTTTTCGTTGTAATCGGTTGCTGTTGTGTGGGTGAACGCGTTTGACTGCCGCGGAAACTTGACATCTGACTGGGTTCGACACGATCGGCGGCAACGGCGGCGGCTGCGGCACTTTGGTTTCCCATATGCACGTGTATGCATTCCAAGTGGCCAACTTCGGGTGTATTGTTACTGTTAAGTGGAGCTGAAATTTTCATTTCAGAGTTGTCCGTTTCCGAAAGCTCCTCCTTTTCTGGTGGCGCACTGTTGTCTGATTTCTGTTTCGTTTCTATGACACTGACGTCTTTTGTTTCTTCTGCCTTTAGGCTTGGACTCTGTGGCGTACTGTTGTGAATCGACCTAACGTCCCCATTTTGTGACGTAGACGTCGTGCTGGTAGAAACAACTTCCTGTACCGCCTGTTTGTCTCTAGAAGAGGGTGATATAGGTTCGTCATCATTTGTGGTTTTTACAAAATCTTCAATAGCTGCCGTTAGATTTGCAATGTCCATGCATTCTTCGATCCGCAGTTCCGGAAGTGGTTGTGGATGCAGTGATCCATTAAGACTAGAATCTGGTGAAGGTGCCGCTTTGTGTACCTGTTGGAAAAATAGAGATGTAAATAATGAACGTATTAAATTGAAAAATATTAGTTTTTTAAGGTGTTAGCAAGAATAAATAAAACTACAGAAACAAAGGATTAAACAGCACCCATATTGACTGCGGATGCCTCGTCAAGACGAGATACCTAACTTTTCGGGAATGAACTCTTTGCCTATTTTAGAATCAATGCGACAAAGAGCCTAATGAATACACGCCATGTTGAGTGGGCGGGTGCTTGGGTCTCGAGGACTTACTCAAAAATCTATTATAGTGTTAAACGAGTAACGCCGACTTTTTTCATCTGTGGTCGAATAGATCATCAATTAACAGCGTGGGAGATTTGCTTACCAAATTCCAAAGAACGATCACCATGTGCTGTAGGCAAGCTTTTCCAACACCACCTGGGTCTGCTCTAGATGTGCAGTTAAACGTTTTAGGTTCAAATGAAATGGTGTTGATATGATGTTTGTGTGGATTGAGGTGGAAATCGATGTAGCCAGAGATCAAGGCGTTAGTGTTTTTTCAATGTCACAATGTCATAGGATAGTACGCTACGCCACAATTGCCTTTGCTGAAGAGCTTACACATTGTTGAATATTTTCTGATGACTCAAACAAAAGCAAAGTGAGGATCTGTAGTCTGTATAGAAGGCTACGGAAATTCCGAACCGAAATGTTTGCAATCCTCAAGGCCATTAATTCCATCGTGGAAAATAGGTGGAGATGTAGGAGTTTACGTATCTGTAATTTACAGCAAAGCTTCAATTCAGGCATTTGCCAGACTTCTAACAAATTCCATACTAGTTCGACAATGGAAATCTCGAACTATTTAATTTTGCGCCAGGTTACTCGGAAGCACCCGCTAATGACACATCTAAGCGTTTCCTAGAGAAGGCTCAGACTAGGTATTACTTGGTCCGCAACAAGTCATAGCACTTTCACGTTCGACCTTTGAAGAAATCATCAAAAATTAGGTGAATGTTACACTTATAAATGACTGGGCGGCTTCCCAACCTTGCTCCCAGTCTTAGAAAATCTAGCTAGGTATTTGCTTTTATTGAGCAAACGGGACTGCAGGCAAACTCGTGGAATTACTGACTGGCCACTTCTTGTAGGCCAAACACCTGAAGGAACGAACGGTGATATAACCTTCCACTTGCGCTTAAATTTAATTTACCTTTCCTTCCTTTGCTATAGCTTCTCAAATATTGCAAAAACGCGATTTTTTGACATTTTGACCACTTTTTTTCTCAAAATCTGGAGCCGATGGAAATTTTATACTTACGGATTCGTAATCAGCACAAAAAAAGTCTATCAAAGACAGCTTTAACATCTTATCTTTTTCTACTTTCGCGTATTAGCTAAGGACTTTTTTAGAAATATTTTAATTATGGAATAGGTCACCGATACTAAAAGCAATTTTTCTCGCAAGGGGCCCGTTCGCTGATTTTGGTTTTGATGGGAAAATATTCCTAGAGAAAGAGGCCTAATACTGCCTAAGCTCAGAAAGTGGGGACTTAAGGGGTCATTTGGGTGTTTGAAGACGATTTATAAATGATCAAGCAGTAAAATTCACAGACTCAATGCAACCGAAGCTGACCTTTATAAACAAGGTAATAATACCTGAAAGGGATATTTTAAAACATTAATCGCCATGTTCGGTGACGGAACTCAAGTTTGGTACACTGACGGTTCTAATTTGAGGATGGGAACACTGGGACCGGCGTGCATGGACCTAGATTTCAAAACAGCGTCTCGACGGGCATATACCCAACCCTATTCTTGGCGGAAACTATCGCAATTGAAGTTTATACCCACGAAAGTCTTCGCAAAATCTCTATTAGGGCAATAATAAACATCATGTCGGAGAAAACCATGTCAAAGGTAGTAGACAGTTGCAAAAAAGCTCTGGTACCACTAGGAATCAACAACCAGGCGATGAGGGCTTCGATTGCAACGAAATAACTGACACGCCACCGACATGCGGTGCTCGGCAGTCTGATCGGTCCTCAGCCTTTCTTTGATCCATCTGGAGGATATACAGGAGAGCTCCTAAGGGGATGGGAGGACCTGCAAGTTGCGATGCCGTACGACAAATGGCAAAAGGAAGTCCAAGAGTTTCATAACTGTCTCTCGTGCAATCTCTGAGCGGTTGGTAAATCTTAGTAGAACCAGTTTAAGAACTCGCCTCGCCTGGTACCTGACAGGGCACTGCAGACTGAGGTACCATCTAAACAATATGTAACTCTCTGAGGAGACGAACTGCAGGTTTTTTGGCTTGAGGAGGCAACCTCGGAGCATATACTATGCAATTGTCCGCTTATAGCTCACTTAGACTTAAAAACATTGGATAATATTATCATCTCCATCCATAATCTGAAACAAGGCAACCTCTAAAGTGCTTAATTTCATTAATAGCCTAAGGTTGGTGACTAGATAAGGCTTAGCACAATAGATCTAGCTAGGTCGCAAAGCTATATGCGATAATAATAATAATAATAATACACTAAAACTTGATGAAGAATAGCATATATATGGACGCGTTGTGAAACCACGCGGATCGTAAGAGCCCTCTTACTCAAACCAAAGTGTGGAGTAATCGAAACTTGATAGTTACCGTACTCTTACATTAGCTGTGCCGGTTAAACACTTCTTTACTCCATGAAATTTCTTCTTTTTCTACAGAGTGCGGAGTATTCCCATAAAGGTACCCCAAGCTTTTTGGTTATTCTTCATTTCCATGGCTTTTGCAGAGGTGTTTATGGGGCACCCGCAACCTCTCCTTGGGATGCATGAGGAAATAATCTTCAACCGCATGCAACAAGCCTTGCGCATTACACAAAGATGGTTTGATCCCAAAGCATTGTGCATTAATTCCAAAAAAAACTATTCTGGTTCCGTTTTGCCGGAGCAGAAAGTTATCCATGATTGAACCTTCTCTGTAAGGTACTAGAATATTTTTTTTTTTCAAATTAAGAAAAATACCTGGGGTGATTCTGGATAAGACACTCATCTGGAACGCATATTTGGATGCAGCGAATTTTCGGAAATAAAACAAAAAGCGAAGAACAAAGTAGCGGTACTGCTGAATACGCCACCTCTGTCTCTCTACATCATAACCATTTTCGAAGCAGAGATTCATGCAATAGAGATCTCTGACAGAGAATGCCTCAGAAGAGGCACAGCTTCTAAGATCATCTGCATTATATCGAACAGTCAGGCTGCCATTGTTAACGCAAAAATCGCGGACCAACGGAGCCACCACAGTATTCCATGGCCCGAAACTTACAAGGGAGGCCATAAAAAAGTGGGTGCACAAATAATTCCACAGGAAAATGAGTCAGTGTACAGGGCAAGTACAAGCTAAGCAGTTTATTTGTCCATCAAAAGAAGCTTCAAAAAAGCTCATTAATTTAGGCAAGAAGAACCTTTAAACTGCTATTGGGTACTTCAGCGGGCATTGCTTCCTGCATTACGAGTATCACCTTACTATATATAATGAGCAGGGAACGGACTTTTAGGACCTAAAAACCTATAAAAAAGGCAAAATAAAATAACGAAATAGGCTGGAAAAGGCAAAATAAAATAGTGAAAAAGGCAGGAAAAGGCACTAGGTGTTGCAAAAAAGGCAAAAAAAGGCAAAACAAAATAGCGAAAAAGGCAGGAAAAGGCACTAAAAAAAGACAGAAAATACGAAGAACAATCAAAAAATACATTTATATTAGAAATGTGTATATTACAAGTAAAAAGAGAAAAACTATGAACTAATTTCATTATATGAAAAATTTGTACTTTGAATCTTTGACTATTTTATCCTTTCGAGTTTCTAACTCATAAAACTTTAATCTGTATAGTTCTAGTAACATTGAACCACAAGATGCATTTTGAAGTTTTCTGGCAGCATTTTCATTCGATTTTCGCGAAGAAAAGCCTTGAATGTACTAAATGTGTGCTCGACTTAAATTGATACAAGCGGCGCCCAATTTAAACATGGAACGTTTGAAACGTCCATATTATCAGGAATAAGGGCGTTTTCCTCGCCCTTTACAATTTTATCCACACCCCTTATTGTCTCCAAGCCTTCGTTAGCTGAGAAAACGGCTTTGAATTTTTCCAACACCAATTTGGCAAGAGGTCTCTGCGCTTCTATAAGCCGCATGGGCAATGTGTATATTTTTTAATCTTAAAAAAAAATTGTAAATGCTATAATCACTTTTTTAAAGGTAGAAAAGGCAAAAAAAGGCAAATATCTTAAAAAAGGCAAAAAAAGGCAACATCAAATGTGTATATATGGAATCAGGGAAAGCTAAATCTCGGACATTCTTAATCGAATATACTCTATCTCTTCAGCAGAAAAAAGGCAATTTCCATAAAATCAGTTCCCTGATAATGAGTCTTTCACACACGAGCGTCTGCCGCTTCTGTGAGCAGGACGAAGAAACGCCAGAACACATTCTTGGTGAACGTTTTGCTTTCAATAGACCTAGACTCGCTCACCTGGGTGATATAACACTTCATCCGTTCGAAATATGGGACAAAAAGCCCAGGGAAGTGCTAGCCTACATTTAAAGCCTTCACTTATGGGATAAAAGGCCACTCACAATGGATCACCTTAGAAGTTGAGGCGCTTATGGCCCACTGATGCCAGACATTCTCCGTTAAAAATCCCTCGAAAATCGGGGAAAAGCCTCTCAATTACCCGCATCTTAAAAATTTATCCCACAAAATTCCCAATGAATTCAAAACATATACATATTTTAGTGGTAAAGAAGTAACATTCATTTAAAATAATAATAGTAGATTGGCGTTTACACATATATTAGTGTTTGGCCGACTTCTTCTCCGATTTGTGGCGTGCCCTCGGAGGTTTGCCATTGCCAGCCGAGGGGCGAGCGCTGTTAAGAAAAAACCTTTTTTCAAAATTTTTTTTCGATGTTGCTTTGACCAGGGCTTGAACCCAGGCACGCGCACTGCTTACCACTACACCACGATTAATTACGCAAGAGTGTCGAATTACGTTATACGATGCTTCCACGATTCGTAATTCGCTCTCTAAGTAATTCGTTAAGTAATACGTGAATTACCCTGTTTCCACGACACACATTAGTAATTCGTTTGGCAGCTCTAGTTCTTGTTCTTCGCTATTTATTATTATTTTTGTGTACTGCAAATATCGAAGGAGGTGCTAAAATTTAAGTTGTCATCAACAATTTTAATTTATATAGAGAATATTTTATTACTATTATTCTATAATTAGAAAAAGTGCCAGCAAATGGGTCCAGGTCGGTGAAAACTTCGATATATTTCCGATAAATATTAGAGAACGCACCGATTATTTCGACATTCGCATGGTAATTCGTTCTGAGTTACCTACAAATGAGGTAATTCGCTCGCACAATTTTGTATGGCGAATTACGTAATTCGGAAGGTAATTGGCAAGGTGAATGACGAATGGGAGAGCAAATTACGAAGTAGAGAGCGAATTACGAATCGTAGAAATGTCGTATAAGAGTGTCGAATATTCTTGAATTTTGATCATTTATGCATCGATAACTGTGTCAATAGAAAATCCTTTTTTTTATTTAAAATATAAATTTTTTCCCCTTTTAATAATTTTTGGCATCACTGTTATGGCCCATAATAATATGTAACGCCCAAGACTGGGTTCCTGAAGACATAGTAGCGTTGGAAAATACATAACGAAACAGCTAAAAGACTTTTCTAATGATAAAATAGGCCATATAACTAATACATACAAACAATTGTAAGTGAGCCAAAAAAGGTTAAACTAAACTGCATGGAAAGTGACTTTCCTACCCTCCCCAGTTTCTCAAAAAAAAAAACAACATAAAAATAAAAATACAGTATGGCAGTTGTAACTCCTGGCACACCTTTAACATAACTCATTTGTAAAAATTACCCGTTTATTTTTTGTGATATTATGGAGCGCTATGTAAGCTTTTACTTACCCCCACAGCTGGCGGTGCTGGTGCACGACGTTTTTTGCGGTGCATTCGTTGTTGCTTTATGGGTGTCGAAGTTATCATCTGTCTATCACCAGCCAGCGAAACATCTTCATTATTTTCTTCCTCATCATCGTCGGTATCAAATGGATTTGTGCTTGCCATACTAATTTGCGATGATCTAATTGAGTGTTTGTAAAAAAAAATAATAGAAAAAAAGGTACGAATGTAGATGCCAAAATTGAGAGAAAAAAGGAAAAAATAAGTTACAATTAACACTTTCACACAAATGCAACATTTGTAATATGGAAATGTGTATCTAAACTTAAGAAGATAAATATTGTAGTATTGAATAAGTTAAACCAGTTTAGATATATACATACATACATTTGTTGGTGGGGTGAGACACAAAATCGGTTGACTAATAACGCGTTACCCGTGCGAAAAAATGGAGACGTACATGTCAAGAAATAGTTTATTACATATACATATATACACATTAGGGTGCAGCACCAAAAAGATATTAAGGTTTAAGTGAGCTAGACGGGTTCGAAAACACCTCCAAAAATATTATTATTTTGATTTCGTTGATAAAATCTTTAATTTCAAATTTTATGCGCCCCCTAAACTCTTTTATCATCTGAGGTGATTTTTCATAAAAAAATATTTTTAAAAGCTAATTTTGTATATAAAGGACAGAATTTCTGGAGGTATTTTCAAATAAGTCCAGCCCACGTAAGTCTTAACATTTTCCGAAATACTTTGGCGGAACTCTTAAAATACAATAAATTTTATATTTCTTATGGAAAAACAGTACCGTTTTTTTTGTATGGACTGTGATGCACCCTAATGTACATACATAAGTATCTATACAAATCTGTGTACATTTGCACATAGTGCAAATCGGATTGAAACGTAGCTAAATATGTGCGTATGTGCATTAAAAACTTAATATATTTACACATGGTCATAGGTGAATAAAGTACACAATAGGTACAAGCAAATATAAATAACCGTAAACCGCCCTTAGACATTTAAAACACATTTATTTTATTACTTTTGATTGAAATTAAAGTATAAACCATTACCATTGGAATAACCAAAACAAAATAATTCGCACCAAAACGCAACGCAACGCAACGAAATATAAGGTGAACTCACCCATTTGATAGACCAACAACGCCTGACCCGATATTAGAATTACGCAGTGGCTGTGGCGTCACAGATCCACCGTACACATACCTTCTTGGTTGTGGCACCGGTGTTGTGCGTAAACTCGTATTGTTATTGTTGTAGTTGGTTTTGGATTTTGTGCCCATCACCTGTATGGTACTTCGATACTGATTATTCCGATTGAAATCCAATTGTGAGCCGGTATTATTCTGGAAAAGAAATGGATTGATTTCTAAGCGATGTATGTCAAACCGATTAGACATTAAAAATATCTTAAACGAAATCGATTTTTAGTATAAAACTATTTTTAATCTTAGTCTTAGTCCTAGTCCTAACCTTAATCTCAATTTTAATCTTAATATTAATCTTAGTCCTAGTCCTAACCTCAATCTCAATCTTGATCTTTATCTTAATATAAATTTTAGTTTTAATCTTAATCTTTAATTCAATCCTGATCTTATTCTTAAAATTAATATCAATCTTAATATTAAACTTAATCTTTCACTGTATCTTGATAATCTTAATCTTCATCTTAAACATAAACTTAATCTTAATTTTAATCTTGATCTTAATCTTAGTCTCTACCTTAATCACAATCTTAATCTTAAGCTTAATCTTAATTTTAGTCTAAATCTTAATTTAAATTTTTAATCCTTATTCTGCCAAATAACGGCCGCTATCCCATCCCTAATTCTGTGGTTTTTCGTTTCATCGAAGTTCGGGTTTATAGCCAACCGAGTGGAAAGAAGTTTTACTTAAAATTTTTTTTTATGTGTTTATAAGCGCGGCTACATATAATTTCCATTTCTTTCATAAATTTTTCGTGCGGCAGCGGAGAGTTAGTAAGCCGCATGCAACGCTGTTAAGCAGAAATGGGTCTGATGAATCCATGCCCGAAGATCGGAAGCTCCTGTGCCCTTTTTCCAATCCCCAAGAAAAAAGATCCTGCTGCTTTCCCCAATTACTGCCAGAATAAACATTCTTAACGTCGTTTATAAGATTCTATCGACGAAACTCTGAAACTCTTCATAAACCAATGTGGATTCAGACCAGGTAAATCCGCTATTGACCAGATTTTTACAGTGCGTCAAATCCTGGAAAGTACTCTTGATAATCAAATCGATGTTCAATACTTGTTCAACGATTTTAAAGTCGCTTTTGCTAGTTCGAAGAGAAGCTGCCTCTACGAAGACGTAGTACAGCTTTTAGTTCTGTTAATTTGGGAAGAACTCTCCAAAAAAACTTTTTAGACAAGGTGACTTTAACATCGTCGGTTTCACCTCCAAGGCCGTGGGAAATGGATTATTTCGAGCAAAGCGGAGAAGGTTAGTGAAGTTTCGAAAGAACAATATTGTACAAGATCTATAGCCCTTTTCGCGCAGGCGACGGGTATCTAGGAAGCTAGTACGACCACGAAGTGACGAGGTTTTAATGAATACAGTTACACAAGCGAAGCAAAATACAACGAAGGGTATGTTGTACACAAGGCATTCGTTTGAAGTAGTTTAAGACAAATTTGCTATTTCGGCTCTGTGGTCAGAACTGGGAACTTTTGTGACTATTTCTCTATTGTTAAAAAGGTATCCAAAGGGTATCCTAAGAGCAAAGAGACATTACCGCTCTCCAGTCGTTCCTACAACGATCGGGCTAGGATTGTCACTTCATCTCAAATTTCTAAAAAGCGGCTTGGAGAACGTTTCTTCCATTAAAACAACAAAAACCGCTCTCCAGTACCCAATGCGAGTTAACCAACTCTCAAATCAGAAGTTTGGTAGAGCGCGAGAGGAAATCGAATAGGTCAGAGGATGAAGACTGAGTTGTTTGCCGCTAAGTCCTTTAGTCTCTCCATGCAATTGTAAATCAATGCAGACTTGATTTTATAGTCAAAGAAGGGCCTTAAGTGCGATCTGACTGTCACTTAATATTCTGATCTTTTCGGTGCGATACTTTCGCTAAAGATTGATCTCTGCACATAGACTGATGGCATGAACATCCGCTTGAAATATATTTGAAGGTCTCTCCGTGGGAACTTCAAAGCCCTCGAGTGGTTGTTTTTTAGTTTTTGTACCAAATTAGAAGGAGTTTTTCTTGATATTTGCGTCGCTCCAGCTTGCCTTATTGCCTAGTTCTACTTGAAGTTCCTTTCGTAGCTAATAAATGTGCAGATATATTTCCGTGGAAATTGGGTCAGGGATAGCTGAGTTCTTAAGGATTCCATATTTCGAGATGTAACCACTTTCTCTTTTCCACAACTCTCCCTGGTCAAGTTTATCAGATATCGTTTGGCTGCCTGCTCTATGCAATGACATGAGCTCGAGACTAACCTCCATTTGTGCCGTGGGCAAAGTCTACATTACGCAAGTAATACATAGACACGCAACATGTTACAGTTTTGCCAGTGAGCGCCTCACATTCGCTAGGTTGACTTTCTTAGTATACATCGAACTGAGTATCGGAGGGCTGCAGCCACAAGATTTCATCCAGATAATAAACTTCGTCAAACTATTAACAAAAGTTTCTCCAAAGACCAAACTAGCCATTGGTTTGTTCACACTGCAATATATATTTTCACTTTAACAGCCACTTAGCCGAAAAATGCCACCGATGTTTAAGAAGGAGAAGAGAGTGATCTCCTAATTTCAATGTAATTTTTTTTTAACAATTTGGAACGTATATTTGGGAAATATGAGTGCAAGGTTTGATTGCTTGAAAGGAAACCCGTCATCGTCATCATTTATAAGAATTGAAGGACTGATCGGTCCACACATGGTTGCCGAATATTCGCAAAGAACGACCTTATTGTCCGGACTTGAAAATATGGCTCAGAGCAAACACGTTTTCTATTGCACATATCGTGGAAGAAATGGGTGATATATCAGTAGCACTTGTATTTCGTTATCAATAGTCTAATAATAAGCTTAAGTTTACCAAAATTTTGATTTTAAATTAATTTATCTTTTAATTAGAAAAGGTTCATATATCCTACCTTTGCATGAGCCACATTCTGTAGTGAACTTCTGTAGCCCGCATTTCGCTGGAAATTATCAATGCTGCCTGCTGGTGTGGAATAACGAGTTTTATAATCCGGCAGACTGAGATCATTTCCATTCTCCGAACTGTAGAGATCACGTCGTAGTGCTGGTGGACTTTCTGATGTTTTGTTTATGCCCAGTGTGGAAGACTTCTTTTTGAGACGAAATGACTTAAAAGCCCTGAGAATTTATGTAGATGAAAAAGTATTGTAAATGTATTTAACGAATTTGCGAAGAATATAAAAAAAAACTAAAAGAAACATGTACTCAGTTTAAGAAATTGAAAAGATAACGAAGAAAAGCTATTTAGAAGGTAGAATAACTAATTGGATATTCGTAAGAACATCTTTTTTTTTTTGTTTTTTTATGACAGGGCATTCTTATTCTAATTCGGATTTTTGCAGTGACCGAAAATAAAAATTATAATTTTTTTTTTTTTAATTTAGACTAAAAAACTTACACCGAAGATAAATGCTGCGTCACAAGGAGTAAACCATGATAAAAATATTTTTATCATGGAGTAAACCAACATAATTGTTGTTAAAAAAATCAAGTTTAATAGTTGATTTCTTGAGTTGTACTTATTGCTTGCAAAAATAATCGTTATTTTGTGCTCGGAAAATAAAACATAATTCTTCGTTTTTTAAGACATTTGACATAACTCTCCTGTCCTGAAAGTAGTCAAAACGGTTGAATATGAATATGACCATTATCTCTTCGTGTTCGTATTTGTAGTCGTAGTCGTCTTCACCTTCGTCTCCGTGTATGTCTTCGTATCCGTTTATGTGTTCGTTTTCGTATTCATGATCGCCTTCATGGCAATATTCGTATTCGTCTTCCTCTTCTCACTCGTCTTTTTGTTCATATTCGTTTTCTTTGTCGATTTTGTATTCGTCTTCGTCCTCGAACTCGTCTGCGTTTCCGCGTTCGTCTTTTTATCCGTTTTTATGTTCGTCTTCGTATTCATGATCACCTTCGTGGCTATATTCATATTCAGCTTCCTCTTCGTGTTCATATTATATTTCTTCGTCGTATCTTATTCGTCCTCACCTTCGTCTCCGTGTACATCTTCATGTTCGCTTTGGTGTTCGAATTTGAATTTATCTTCGTGGTTGTCTTCGCCTTTGGATTTGTCCTTAACATTAAGAATGCCGTATATTTACTTTTAATGATATTTAGTTGACGACTTTCAGCTCGCTACCCTTCTCAAGGAAAACACAAGAAGAAGCTACTTTTGCTTTTTGAGTCTTATTTTGTGAATAAAACATAAAACTCAAAAAATTACTTTTAATTTCTAAACAAAAAATAAAACTAAAAAAATATCGATTATTTTCCGAGAAAAAATAAAACTCAAAAATGACTATTATTGTTCAAACAAAAATTGAAACTTCTATATAACGATTATTTTTTGAGCGAAAAATAAAACTAAAAAATAACTAAGCACTAAATAAAATTCAGTAAATAATGATTAAAAAGTATAACGTTTTCAAGCAATAAATTTTTAAAATTCAAAACTCAAACTCACTCACACATTTTCAACAATTTGAACAATTTCACTTTTTTATTCTCAATGTTATATGATTAAAAAAAAAATCATGGGCGACGAATTGAGAGAATGATTTTACCTTGTAATTTTTGTATCATGGTTATAACTAGGGATGACAAAAATAAAATAAAATAATCGATTAATTAATCATATGAATAATTACAAGCCAAAATAAATTAATTGCAATTATTCACCCTCATTGCGCGAGTCGTGTCGAATGCAAGTCGTTTTTCGAGAGTCGAATCGTATCGAAAATTTCACGTCATTGCCTAAAATTTCCACTCGACTAGTGTATTAAAACGGAAAAACTTGGCAGCACTGTACAATTTTCGACAATTTTCGTCGTTTATTTATTTCAGCACGACAGTAGACAATGCCAATGTTGTCGAGTCGTACAATTTAGCCTAATTTGCGACTTACACAATGAGGCTGATTGAGAAATTATCGATTAATCGAATTTTTAAAGGCACTCTTTTACAGTGAGTATTCACCAAAACACTTTCTCATAAAAAATTTCGAATTCTCTTGTTAATTAACCCTCTAATAAAATAAAACCAGTATTTTGAGCAATTTTTGCGGCTGTTTGCAATTTTAGACAATTACAGAATTCATCTTTCTTGAAAATATTTTTACGCTTATTTTACAATTAAACACAAAACTACTAACTATTAAACTGTAAATTGGACAAAAATAATTGCTGCCAGCCCTAGTTATAACGTTACGGTAGCTGGATTTTTGTTTTACACTATATCTACTCACCACACATCTTTGAGACCACTCAGTGAAAAACTATTTCGCCGACTTCCGCTGCCATTCGATTTATTTATCTTCCAAAACCGCAAGCGCTTGTGTTGCTCATCCTCATAGAATGGATTTAGGTGTTCGGGATAGTTATAGATGGATACCTGACTTGTGGAGCGACCATTCCGCATTACAAAAACATCGCCGTTCAAGCTAGTCATATTCACGGCAATATGATGCCTGGTTTAATATCTGAAAAAAAAAGAATAAGCACAAAAATTATGCAGTCGAATTTAATAGCTATGAATTGAAGGTTTGTTGCTTTATGTGTTTTTGTTGGCGAACACTTTGTGGCAGCCATTGTATGTGTGCAGTCTTGCATGTAATAAAAACCGTTAAACCGAGTTTTGGGTAAATATAAATTAGGACGGGTAAGTTTTGTTTTTTCGACATACTTCCTAGCAGTTCCGGATTCTGCATATAATTCTCTGAAAAAAGTCCAGTAGAGTATTGCTCTAAAGTCAACTTCAAGTCTCCCAAAATTAAAAAATCCATCTTTAATTAAGGTCTCATAAGTTGGAGGAAGACGGAACACAAATGTTTACATTCGATTTTTCACACTGCCCTTTAGAATTTGTTGGAAACTTGTAGGTAGCCAGTGACAGAAATCTCTATCAGTCTTGCCTCTCAAATGATTTGTCAAATGATAGTCACTGTTCTTGCAGGGTTAGTTTCCATCACACAATTCTTGTATATATATGTAGATTAATATTTACTAAAGTGTTGTGAATGTTATTTTTCTAATACAAATTTGTACTTGGAGGTTGTTTGATAGGAAGAATTTCTGATAAAAATTTCTTCCTTCAATAACCATCCTGAAATATTTTTTCGGCAGTAAAATTTTTAAGATGTATCTATGCCTTGTGACTATGTAATTTTTTTACATGTTAATAAATTACCTAAAACTGAAAAAAAAGATTAAATTCTACAGTATGTATTTAAAAAATATAATTTATTTATTTATTCAACTTAAATATATTAACCTTCATATAGCTTACAACTATAAAAATAGTTTTATAATTTGGCGGACTCGAACACATAAAGCAATGAAACTTTAAAGGTATTGCCAAATGGACTTTTTTATTAGAACGATGCCGCAAAAGCTCCTTTCATACAAATTAATCCGCACTAACCCTGTGGGGAAAATCTCTAGTTCTGAACTGGTGCGCTTCAAGTACATTTAGACCCAGTACTGGTTCGCGATAAATCTCTTTTGCATGCAAGCAACTGGCGAATTTAACATGGCGATGTCCTAGGAAGTCTCAATTGCCCCCCGCTGCATCCCTTTTTCGATAGTTTCGAACTAGTCCTAAATTCTATAGTTCCGTACCAGTTCCAAAATCGACAGACGAAAGAAAAAAGTATCATGATTTTTCAATCTTTTTGGTTCTTCAGTGTGTGCGATTTTAAGTTATTTTGGAAGAAATGTGTTTTCAATTTGAAATTAAATTTGTTTGAATGATTGTAAGAAATGTACGTTTACATACCTTTAGCTGTAGCTGAGTTTGCAGCGGTCCAAGATATTGAAATGTAAACACAAATTTTAGTTTTGTATTTCCAAGCTATGAAAAAGCATCTGTGAAGCACAGAATAGAAGCGTGTTTGAACGAAAAAGCCGCCGAAATCATATCTATGTAAAGTAAACAAGCCCCCCGCTGCATCCCTTATTCGATAGTTCCGAAATAGTTCTAAATTCGACAAATAGGATCTAGTTCGTTCTGCATCCCTTTTTCTATAGTTCCGAACCATTTCTAAATTCGTCACTTTAGATATGGATTTCTAGTGAAAAAAAATTAAAAAAATTAGTTTCTTAAAAGTACCACTTTTCGCCGATTTTGGACTGGTCTAGTTCCTATCGGTCTAGTTCCTTTTTGGCGATAAAGACCTAGTACGGAACTAGAAATTTGATTCGCTAGTCCGCGGTTTCCCTGCACGGAATGTACACACTATATTCATACCCGAGCGCACATGTGCACAATTACAATTATAATTTTGTTTACATAACGGTTGTTTGTAACATCCAAAACCAATCGATATAGACAAATGTATACATAGATGATCAGAATGAAAAGAGAAGTCGATTAAGCCATGTCCGTCTGTCCGCCCGTCCGTCCGTTTACACGACAACTCAAGCAAAAATTGAGATATCTCAACGAAATTTGATATGTATGGTTGCTCTTTACCCGAGGTAGGTTGGTATAGAAAATGGCCAAATTCGGACTGTAATCCCGCCCACTTTCCATATAACGGTAATTTCGAAAAATGTAAAAACTACGATATTTCAGTAAATATTCAATCGAAATTGTTGAAAATTAGTATGTGAAGTGGAATTATGGTAAAAACTAAAATTAATATAAAATTTTTGGAAAATGGGCGTGACCTCGCCCACTTATGATAAAATGCTGTATCTCTGTAGCCGCTTCACCAATCTATACCAAACTCGGTTCGAGCGTTGCTTAGGGTCCAACTAAGAAATTTGTTGAAAATCTTTGAAATCGGACGATAACCACGCCCTCCTCCCAAATAACGGTAATTTACAGAAACACGAAAACTGCGATAAATCAGTAGTTATTGAAGCTAATTCACTCAAAATCGACGGTTGCAATAATCACTTAGCACAAAATTTTATTATTATAAATTTTTGGACAATGGGCGTGGCTCCGCCTACTTATGACCACAAATATGTATCACGGTGACCGATTCATCAAAATCAACTAAAATTGGTGCACCTTGTAATCTCGGTACGGAAAAGCAATTTGTTGAAAATTATTCAAATCGACTAAAATTATACCACCTTCCCGTATAACGGTAAATTTCAAAAATACGAAAACTCCGATATTTCAAAAACTGAGGACACTAATTAACTCCAAATTAATACTAATTGGGCGTGGCACCGCCCACTTTATGACTAAAAAGGTCGATCTCGGTAATCGCTTTATCGATTTCTACCAAACTTGATTCAGTGATTTTATTAAGTCAGGAAAAACACCCCTGCTTATCATGCAAAGGTAGTTGAGAGAAACGACGATATTCGATAACTGCGCCGGGTATGTGTATTAAATATTGAGTTTTTTAAGCCATATTTGCTACACGGTAGAAGAAACCGCATATATTTAGCGAACAAGGATTTTGTTTTTAAAATTATCACCACCATTTTCACTGTATTTAGCAGAGCTGCTAACCGCTCCAAAAATCGATGCGGTTCGGTTCCCTGGTTTGAACCACTTATAAACAGCTTGTTCCAGAACACCCGTTCGTTAGTATCCCTGAACCGCGGGTCTGTTCGCCAAAAAGAGGTAAGCGATTTTTTTTTGTTTTCAAAAAAGCAAAATTTCCTCCTTAACATTTTAACCTTCCAACTTCTTTAGAGTAAGGGTCAAAAAGGCGTATTGTAGTCGGAGTTAACGGGTTAAAAATGTTTTGCGAAAAATGTGTCTTTAAATTTTAACATGTCTCTTCCAAGACAAGAATTAAGTTCGAAGCTAATTCGTCATCACAAAGTAGAAAATTTAAACTACTGTAAAAGAAACTTGTATGGATAATACAGTTTGAACATCCTTTGGCTGATGCACTTATTACTTGACAAAAAAGATAAAATTGTTCCACAGTGCAATAATGAGTTTCCATCTCATCATGCAAATTGTTTTCTGCAGACTGCAATATTAAAGAAATTACAGTATTAAGGTCATTCAATTCAATATGTAAATAAACAATTTATATCTATTAAAAAAATACACATATGTACATACGTATGTAGTTTTGTAAATTTTGTGCTATGTTTACTAAAAATATATAATTCTTTCTCATATTCGGTATTGCTTTTGTTATTGAAATATTGAGGTTACCGTATTTCTAGGAATTTGCACCCGAAAATTATATCCATATGTTTTTTTTATGTACAAACGTTACACATACATATGTATGTACGTACCGACATGCGAGTGTAGTGGTAGAGTGGTAGAGAAAATTTAAATTGCTCACTGCTCCTGAATTGTTATCAATATTTAAACTACTATTACGTTTGCTTGCTTTAGACTTTTCTGCTAACGCTTATTAATTAAATACATACATACATATGAACATAAATATGTGGTGTGTATAGGTATAAGTTCATATATTTTTTGTGTTCATATCTTTTTCTTGCCGCCCAATTAAAGTTGTGGCTACATATGTATTTGCCTGCAAAACTTATGCAATTTCGTTTGATGTAATAAAGTAAAAAGTGTGAAAACAAAGTAAACAAAATTGAAAGAAACTGCAGAAAAAAAAAAACGATTACAAAAGTGTGATAAGATTCTAAATGTGTTGTCTTTGTGCAAAAAATGTGTGTTCAACTACATAGTACATGTACACTCTTTGCATGCCAAGAGTATAATAAACAAAATTATACCTATGTACATATGTATGTACAAACATCCAAATACATATGTATGTGTATATGTAAGTATATTATTTGAGTATTTATATACATACATAAATACAAGCAGCCAACACACAGACACCTAATGTCTATGCAATCTTGCCTCTTTACCTTATCAGCTGCACAATAACTACCTAACCTAAATAATTTTAAAGTAACTGATAAGTTATATCAATTTTCTTAGTAAGTAAAAATGCAATTGGTGCCTTCCGACCGCATATGCGGCTAAAATATGAAATCGGGAAACTTTATACGCGTACATATTTATGTATTTACATAAGTACCCACATATGTATTTAGCAAAAAAAAAATGCACAGTAAAACTGCCAAAATCGATGTACAACTATCTATGTACATTAAGGTGGTCCAAAAAAAGTAGTCGGAATTTTAATGCTCTCACTCCCCAGGACTGTTCTATAACAAAAAAAGAAAAATTACCGCTGTTTTTTTTAATTTTGAAATCAAAAAATATTTAGAGATCGCTCAAGGTTTTTGCATGTATTTTACATGGGGAAAAAAAACAATTTTTCGTAGAAATGTTATAGAATTCTTGAAAATCAATATTTTTTGATCGGAAAACTGTGTTTCCTCTCAGGGTACTTGCAATCATAATAACCAATTATTTGTTTTACCAGTTTTTAATATTAACCGTATTTTATGGGTCTCCCCATTGCATTTTTTGTGGTTTTTGGGGACGTATAAAAATATTTGCTGTGAAAAGAGGGTTAAATAAATGGGTATTATTATTGGAAGTCTCCTTCAGAGAAACACA